GCGCGCGCGCTCACAAGATCTCCCGGTTCTTACTTGTGAATTCAGTTCACTGGAGACTCGCACTAAACGGTTCATTTGAATCAGTGAGTTGTCGACTCGAGAACAGCTGCAATCGGATCATTCCAATTCGTGAATGAATCGTTTGGTGTGATTTGCGAGCCGATTTAACGGGTTCATTGAAAAGAATCAGTTCGTTCATGAATCAGACACCGCTTCTGCATCTCGGAGCACGTCATCTATTATAAGGAGTAACGAAGTTTTATGAAATGCAGTGAAGTAAAAAGTACGATCTTATGCTTTGGAATGTAATGAAGTAAAAGTTACTCAAAATAAAACTACTCCATTAAAGTACAGATACTTGAAAATGTACTTAAGTACAGTAACAAAGTAAAACTACTTCGTTACTGTCCACCACTGCCTACAGGACATTAAACATTCTGGGCATTCTAAATCACATTTCACAAAAAAAAACAAAAAAACATGACCATCTAGTGGACAACTGTAAAAGGGAACTTTACAGTTGTAAAGTATGTCCATACCGAGTATGCAACTGGGTAAAAGATTAATACTTTCTAATTCCCTTTTAAAGACCTACATCATTGTGTACATCAGCTACAGTATGGATTGTTTTCATTTATACACATCAAATAACAACTTGATTCCACTGGCTTCTGTGCAAAAACAAACATTTTGACATTTAGAAAACTATAGCAGGGCAAACGTCTATACAGGTATGTGGGAGACTAAAGGAAATATATTATTTGCAATACCATTTACTCCAACAGTGAAAGAAAAAAAATACACTAACAAACTTGTTGGTTGCAAAAAATACAAAAAATAGAGAGATGGATTATGGCAGTCAGAAGACAGACAGATGTCAAATTTACTATCACTACCTCAGTACCTGTATTAGAAACACCCTCGCAGCAGTGTTCACTACTTTCTTCAATTTAATGCAAGGGTAATATAACACAAAGTGTTATATTAAACCATTATAATAAATGGTATAATAAATAATTTGTTTGTTTGTTTTTTAAAGGGTAACACTTTAGATTAGGGAACACTATTCACTACTAACCAGTTGCTTATTAGCATACATATTACTAGCATAATGGCTGTTTATTAGTAGGGTAAACGTACCTATTAAGCTCACATACCCATTAAGCACACTTCCATATTTGAACTCAGATTATAAAAAGAAAAAATAATGTTGATGTCTTAACAAATTGATGTGTTTGTTACTACATACCTCCAGTAATTTCAAGTCAATCAGATCATTGCACACGGAGATATGGGTCTCCATGTGTTCACACTGTCTGGCAGCCATTTTGAAAGCTGTCTGAAAACTTACACCTAAAGAGGAGCTCCTTAAATGTGCATTTTTTATATACAGTGGGTACGGAAAGTATTCAGACCCCCTTAAATTTTTCACTCTTTGTTATATTGCAGCCATTTGCTAAAATCATTTAAGTTAATTTTTTTTCCTCATTAATGTACACACAGCACCCCATATTGACAGAAAAACACGGAATTGTTGACATTTTTGCAGATTTATTAAAAAACAAAAACTGAAATATCTAAAATCGTGTAGTGTATTCCAGCCTTAAAAGACTATAGATAAGTTTACATCCCTTTAATAAGAGGCTTCATAATGAGGCTAGTTTCTGTGTTCATCCCCGTGCACAAGCTTCATGACCATATTCTAGATATCTTAACCCTGCCCAATACCTAAACATAACTGCTACAAACAACTACCTTACTCATAACCAACAGGCAGCAAATTAATTAATTTTATTGACGGAAAACTCTTAGTAAATAGTAAATATGTGTTCCCTAATCTAAAATGTTACGACAACAATAATAACAATGTTAATAACATGTCTCCAATTCAATGTTTTGTCCACTATTGCACTCTAATATATAAAGATAGCAAGTCACAGTAAATAATGAATAGTTTTATCTTGAAACACGCACACAACACAACCACTATATTTAATTGGTTAAATCACACTTTTCTGATTCAATAATCACAATTCCAGTTTTATATTGATTAACTGTGTAACCCTAGACCTAAGGAAGGAAATGTCCAGACAAAAAATACCTACATTCAACAAAAAATATAAATTTACAGTACCTTTTAATACTTTTTAATGACCCATGCTATGTACCCTACTACAGTCAAATGTTTTCGTTGTATGAACATCTCCAAACTACTAAACTATTACATGTTCTCTCACCTCATGCATGTAGGGGTCCACAAGAATCTCGAAGGGCCCCACAGCCAGGGAAATGTTAGGGGCCGCAGTGGGGATGGGCAGCATGTAGTGAAAGGTTTTCTTACGCATGTCGTGGGTGTAGACTGTTTCCACTAGATCCCCACAGGACACTGCCACCATGGAGGCATCCACTGTGAACTCCAGCTTCCATGTGCACAGCTCAGAGTATGAGTCTACACATGGAAACCAGAACCTAGTGGAGAAGATTTGGAAACAATAATAATCAGTATTGGAAATAATAACAATCAATCAATTGGTATTATACTCATACAGACAGATGTACACATATTATAATAATTAGATTAATTAATAATATTAATAAATAATAACTATTATTAATAATAATAATAAATTCATCATTCAAAAAAATGAATTGATAAATAATGCTGAAACAGGATTGTAATCTGTAATAACTTTCCTGAATCACCTTAATTCAGTATTTCAGTACAATTTGTGATGGCAGCCTAAATTTTAACCATAACCACTGTCTCGATTATCTTCCATTTCATGCATGTGAATGTATGCAGCTTACCGTGTGGAATTCTGGTTGCCAAAGGAGAAAACATGGGCTGCTCTTTCTGCCATACTTCCTTCCACATCAGGTACTACAAAATGCAACCCCCCCTTCGGCTGGTCCAATGAAAATTCAATGTACACCTTCATAACTTTCATCTCTGCACACACACAACAGCACAGATTATTATTATGATTATTATTACTGAATAAAAGTCTGTTTTAAAGGGGTCATATGATGCTTTTTTAAAGATCATTATTTTGTGTATTTCTGATCAAAAACCTTCAGATCAGACCTTTTTTGATGCATTTTTAAGAGGCATAGTGAGTACTTGTGACATCAAAAGCACCAGCACTTTGGTACCAGATTATTTACTTTCTTTCAATTGAAAAAATAAACACACAGTACCATTTTTTGCATCTTCCAGTGAAAACGACAGAGCATCAGAAGCCCCGATGCCATTTTGAAGTGCGTTTCACTTCGTGAAGTGGACGAGGGAAGTTTATATGGACAGACCCTCGACCCCTCGATTTTGACCGAGGGAGCGAGTCTGCTTCATATGCACACTTCAGGCCACTCCACAGACCACAATGCAACACGATTGTGACGTCATCGCAGTGTGTTTTGGCCTTTAAAGGAGACATATTATGCCCCTTTTTACAATATGTAATATAAGTCTCTGGTGTC